ATATATATATAATTGTTCATAGTTTCTCTGTGTCGTTCATCGCAACTGGTGACGAGGTTTATCATTACCGGCAGTTCTTTGATTTCAATTTATTTCCAAAATGTTTCTGTCTTTTGAAATCGTTGACGAATCTTCACTCCCGAATGCTTCGAATAGGACTAAAAATACATTTAACTCGTAAGGGTACGTTGCCTCTCGGGATACCCGTCGCCGTTGCATTGTAGGTTAAGACCAGCCAAACAATAACACTATAAACTAAACACCTCTTATCGAGTCACAGTTCTACATTATTTCGCCTTTGGAAAATGCGCTGTATTATTCAAAACATCGCCAAAACTTGTGTTGAAAAAGGATTCACTTTCAGTCTTCAAAAATCTACCTTTCATTTCGCTTCCTTGTCGTTCAGCCTACCTTTCATTTTCAGTCTACGAACGATCTTATACTACTTGAATGTAAAGTATTAGATTTCAATGAATACATAATTGAGTTTTTACTTTCTCGCATGCTAGTAATTATGGAGTATCTGTGCAGAGGAATATAGTAAGAACAGAGCACAAAACACTGAAATCTACGGAAGAAGTGGAATTTCATTGTATTTTTCTATCTTTAAAAATTATAGTTTTGTATTTTTCAATTTTTTTTGAAGATCTTTCTTTTAGGAAAAGGCTGAAATATTGTTAGAATAAAGTAACAATGCACAATATAATGTAACCATTACAATACGATGAAATATGCGATTAATATTGAAAGGTCACTACATCGAATTCCAGCTTGAAAGCAGATTACAGTACAACGTAGATATTTTCAAAAAACTTGCGTACAAATCATATGTATCGTTGAAGGTGCTAATTTAATTAAAATAACTTTCTAGTTCATTCATGGAAAAGTAATACACATTGCCCTGTAGATATTTAGCCATCAACTCCCGTCGACCTTCGTATTGTGTGCAGGCTTATTTAATGTCCCCGAAGAGCCCTGAAGAACAAACGACTTTCAGCAGGCTTTCAAATACGGAGTCGTTATCCACTTTCTCGGCCTTCATTTCCCCTCAAAGCGAAACAAATCGATATTGTATCAGACTGCGAAAATCCTGATTCCGACTAATGAATATATTAAACACAGAATATTCGAGAATGATACATCGTTCCTACGGCATAAGAGTACATCATTTATAAAAGAAAACATCTGATGTCAATTTGAAGGGTAGATTACAGATTTAGAAAATAATAACTTCAAGCTCATTAACGGCATGATTTTTCATTTTGATGAAAAATATAAAAAAAATGGTTACGGTAATACATAGTTAAATGTATTGATATAACTATATATGATGGTAATAATAACAGTATATAAATGTGATTATATAAATCAGACAACTATAAATACAACAGTAAAACGCAATGCGGGATGTGCATAATGCAGAATAATGTGAACATTAATCGTGGTCCTGACAAACGTAAGTTCTACTGTATTTCATTGTATAACGAGGAATCTTGTCTAACACGAAAAACATATCAGCACTGAGCAAGTTTTATTGAACTATATTAGCAGTAATACGTACATTTATTCAATTAAAATAAATGGAACGAGATCTTAGAAAAAGTCAGAAGAAATAATGAAGAAGAATACAAAAAGGTGGCATGGAATACTACCGATTCCACATTATCGCAACGCTTTGAGTGATGTCATTACGATCGCATCATGTTTATGTATAGAAGCAGAACAATGTGAAATTGAGTACACGAAAAGGACATCAGGTAGCAAACAATCGAACGGAACACAACACTCTCGACCTCGTTTCCCCCCTCACCGTCTTCCCCACCTTCCTGCAGCCGTGGCCCGCGGCGCCCTTAACGACGCTGCCTTTCCACCCTCCCATCGCCGCCACCACCCTTCTCGAGTGAGGCGGGGGGTGGACTTTTCATCTGCACAGGAATTTGCACAGACACGGGCGCATTCGTCTCGCCTCGGGCTCCGCTCATGTTAATTGGCAAGCGGGCCGCAGCCCCCACACCTCCCCACTCTCCC